ACAATTTAATATTGCTTGAATTTCTTAATAAAGCGAAAAATAAATGAAACGATGCTATTTCAGTTAGTAATAATTAATATCGATCTCTCCCTGGTCCTTTCCCGTGCACAAATCGATTCCATTCATACGCAATTTTGTTGAAATCTGTCAATGGCACCTTGTCAATGCTGCCACATCAAACTGAAAGCCAAGCAACATCCCATCTCCCTTTCATGGATAGAGAGAGAGAGAGAGATAGAGAGAGAGAGAGAGAGGGAAAGAGTATATGTGTGGGGGTCCATGTCTATGCACCACTAGTCAGGGAATGAGGTTGACGTTGACAGAGGAGGATGAGGATGCGGATGGGGATGAGGATGGGATGTGGGCTGACCTGCTGTTCACTCATCACGTGGCCATTGACAAGTAGCTGTCAGACAGAAAGAAGAAACGGCACCGGTGCACATCAGCATCAGTAGCGAGACGATGGACCACTTTTGATATGCCCTTGGCCATGCAACAGCGGGAGCAACAACAGCCAGTGGGTGGGGGCAGGTGGTCAGGTGGTCAGGTGGATGGGACCAGCATGCCTCGTGATGGCACAATGTGCCAAATCAAGCGCAAAGATCCAATATCCTGCAATGAAATACAATTACAATTACACGGTGAACAAGGCACAAGACTTTTGAGGCCAACGATTCTATGGCCTTTTAATTGGCAGCCGTACGAGTTTCTTGCAGTGTATTCGTCTATAGTCAAACATTGATTGTTACAATGATGTAGTGCTATCGATGTCTGTTGCGTTTGACTGATTTTCAGTTTCGCTGGAAAAACGAGACGCCCTCAAAGTGCGGCAAACAGCATGTGGCCTCTCTTGCCTGGCACTACATATATGTGTATGCATACATGTATGAGTGTGTGTGTGTGTGTAGCCAAAAGGAATTCAGGCAACACAAAACTGAAAACACAGCCAAGACAGTTCAGTTCAGTTCAGTTCAGTCAGACTGCAAGTGCCGCCCAGGTCTTTAAAAATGTAAGAGCTCAGCGTTGGCATTCAAATACAAGAGTTGTGTGTGTGTGTGTGTGTGTATGTATTGCCCCGATGACTTCACACATTCCTGGGCACACACCGGGCAAACAAGAACTTCCTTGAGACCAAACACAATGTCTTGAGCCCAGCATCGAAGCCAAAGACTCAGCCTCAGCCCCAACCCCAGCCCCAACTCCAGCCCCAGTCGCAGCTTCAGCTTCAGCGCCAAGTAAAGAACTCAAACGGCGAACCAGTTTTTCGGTGAATGAAAAATCAACAGAACCAAAAAAAAAGTTGCACAAAGCCAAGAACTAGGGGCCGTCGAGCTGGCGAGTCGGCAAACTAAAATACTTATAATAAAAAGAAATTAAAATAAAATTCAAAAATGTGCAAAACGAGCGCGTCGAGAAGAGAGGCTAGAGAGCGAGAGAGTGGGAGAGATAGAGAGAAAGAAAAAACGAGAAATGCTGCATGCCACAGAGCAGCCGCAGCACTATATAGCTCGATATAGTCAAAGTCAAGCCAGCCAGGCCAGGGCCAGGGCCCGCAGCAGAAGAATCTCCATGGCAGTGTCAGTCAGGCTGTTGGAACCTGTTGGACCAGTCGACAGTCGACAGGCGGCACAGACACACACAGCAAAAATGCCACCAACGTGTTTTTGGGCCGCAGCAGCGCAGGATAAAAGAGGCAAGACACGGTTCCGCTCTCTCAGTTCACTCTCTCTCTCGCTCTCTCTCTCTCTCGCTCTGCACCTCTCTCTCTCTGTCTCTAGCTCAGTCTCTGTCTCTGTTGCTCAATTCAAGTGTAAAACGCTATCGCTTGTGGAATGCGACCCAGCATTGGCCATATTTGCTGCACTAAATCAAGCGTTTAAACGAAATTTGAGTTGCCCCAAAAAACATGAAGAACAAAAACAACAAAAACAACAACAACAACAGCAGCAAGAACAACAAATACAAAATAAAAGGGAGCAGTTGAACAAGAAGAAAAACTTTTGCCTGGCTCTCATATTGCCGAGAGATCAAAAACTTTTCGCCAGGCAACATAATTTATAGATGCCGTTTGCCTAAATTCGTTTAATTTCATCTCTTCACACACACACACACACACACACACACACACACACACGCACACGCACACACACATAGAAGGAATGGGTTTTTTGAGTTGATGTTTTACCTGTTGGTCAAGTTGCTTTTGTGTGGGTTGCGGACTCAAAGTGGACCCGGCTCCAGTCTCTCGTCCCAAAAGGGTTTCAACTTCGGTCTCTCCCTCTCTCTCTCTCTCTCTCTCGCTCTCGCATCGAAATTGTTGTGCGCTGATCGTTCGTACATTATAATTTATAACTTTATCTAAACGATGTGGTGGTGTTTAATTTTCGACTTCACCTTTTCAATCTTGTTGTTTTTGTTCTTGTTTTGCGTAGTTTTTTGTTGTTGTTGTTGTTGTTGATCTTGTTTTCCTTTTTGATGGTTGTAGCCAATTCGGTATTTGTGGATCTGTTTCCGCTTCGCATGACTCATTTGAGGAATACTTTTGCGCTGTGTTCAATTCTGAATTGTTGTTTGTTGTATTTTTACATATTTATCGTACGCTAATTTGAATAGAGCTCTCAGATGAACATATCAGTGATGTGAATTGGTTGTGGGATCAATAGGCAGACACAGGGAGAGACAGACAGACCTGGGTAACAAGGCCAATGAGGGCGTTGCTGCTTTTTGTGGCTCAGCTGGATGTCCGTTACTGACCACCGTGAAGTTTTTCGGTTTTTCGGTTTTTGGGTTTTCTTGTTAATGAAGAAATAGATATGAGTCGACACAAACTGCTGAGTAACTAGCCAATACGATGGGTAAATGTCTTTCAGAATTGGCCAGCGCCTGCGGTGATGAGTGAAAGTCTTGCCAAAAAGTCGTGCATTGTTTTGGGCCAAAGAAGAAAACCTTTCTTCAAATACATTTTGTTAGCCATACGCGTGCTGTGAGCTCAAATGCCAACAGGTCACAGACTCATTTAAAAGAAATTGCCTTGAAATTCTCCAAAATTAATACACTTATTGATCAGATCATCTGGCTTAAGTTTCTAGCTGACAAATCTGTGAAAAGGTGACGAAATTAGCCATTAACAGGTATTACACCGTTTACGTTGGCATTAAGGGCATTTGCAAGTCTGACTGACTGCCAGTCACGCAGTTCATTAAACTAATCGTTAAATCTAACTATATATGTATATTTATATATATAGGAAAATTAGAATTCAATCATCTGTCAATTAAGCGTCTTGATTTAAGTGCATGCAAATTGAGTGCGGCGCGGATGAAAGCAAATATCTCACAGAATGAGAGCTGGGCATTGTTTTATAGACTGCCATTGGTAGCAAATCATAGATCAATTCACGTTCTTTATTCGTATGCTAATCATGGGCATTAAGTTGGACATACACACGACTATATGGCAAATGTATGCGATATTGCTTTTTAATCCGTTATAAAGAATTGATTTTGTTCTCTTAATGTGTCTGGGATTTTTTATTGACCATCTTGAAGGTGGACGGGCCAAAAATGTTATAGTTCAATGCTGTGTCTGATAAATTTCAATATTATTAAACATTAATTTAATACCACGCTGTGATTGAACCTACATACTTGATTTAACTATTTATTTAGCTTATTTCTCATTCATCGTTGATCCACCCACGTAGCACAATTTGAATTTGATGTTAAATGTTTATTTCGCACCACGGTCTGTTTGTTAACAGCGTCATCTGTTTAGCAGTCAAACAGCAGCAAGAGCGCGCTCTCTTTAGTTAAGAGAGTAATAACAGTGCCATTTTGAGTATAACAGCTGTAGCGCACCAGCAACCGTTTAAACAGCGTACGTTGAAATGTTCTTTTTAGCCATCAGCAACAATTGCACACAGCCACCCAACAGCAGCAACAGCAATAAGCTCAACCAACCACCCACAAATAAACAACAAATCTCCCTTTTCCTTGTCCAATATGTATTTTGAATTATTTATGGTTTGCATTTTATAAATATAATAAGGCAAATATATAATATTAAGCAGCCTGATCTCGGCAACTGTTTGGATCAAATATTTCTGCTCTGCAAACACAAAGAGTGCCCCAGCGTAGAGCGAAGAGCAAAAGAGAAAGAGAGAGAGGCACACAACGATTTGTGTTTGTGCGCTCGAATTTGTATCTGTGAGTTGCTGCAAGATACAGTTAGTTGTGAACGAATCGTCGGCGTGTGTAAACGTGTCGCTGCTGCGTAACAGCGCTTCTTAAGGGTCCCAAAGAGGAACGAATTCTTAACGTATTTCAAATACTACTTTTGAGCAACGCGAGTGCTGAAAGCAAATGCAAATTAATTGAAAATCGACCCCCCTAAATGAAAATCAAAGCCTGCAACTAAAGCCAAAAGCAAAATAATAATGCAATAAAATCACAAAAAACAAAAACACAAGAAATGAATTAAATGCGAATCAAGCGAGTTGTATAAAAGGGAATCGAATTCTATATTCTAGTATATATATATAAATATATATATGAAAGCCAGTTGGGTGCATTATCGGAAACTTTAAACTGTTGCTGATAATAACACGCAAATATACACAATATATATATACCTAGACATATATATTGATGGGGCTATTGCGATTATGTCACGCAGAATTGTAGAATTGTAGGCGCTTTTTGAATAAATCTTTAAAAAAAAAAAAATATCACAAAAAAAGAAAGAAAGCAAAAGAGCAATAAGAGAGAGAGTGAGAAATCGAATTTTTTCAAAAGTGTATTTTAGTTTAAACAAAGCGAAATAACAAAATTCGCATCAATACCAACAACAACAACAACAAACAAGGCTAGACACGCGTGCTTTTTGCACACTTTTTTTGCGACGTCAGCGCGTGAGAGACAACAACAACAACAGCAGCAACAACAACAATAAACTCTTCGCGTATTTTGTTTGTGTTAGTGTGTGTGTTGGCACAACCGGCAAGTGCAAAAAAAGAATAATAAAAGTTTTCTCTGTGTGCGTGTGTGTGTGAGCCGCTCTCTTTCGCTCGCGTCTCTCGCATACTCTCTGTGCGTGTGTGTGTGTGCGCTCTTGTGTGTGAGTGAGTATTGGTGTTGAACAGCTGTTTAGTGCAACATGCAGCATAGCTGCCTAAAATCATAGAGGCACACACCGAAAGCAGCACACCTCAAAAGGAAAAGTATTTGTTGCCTCACCTTGAAAGGTGTCCGGTTCACATTTTCTGCATAGCTCAAACAAGAATTTACGGCAGCAACCACAAACAGCAACAACTGCAGCAACAACAACAACAGCAACAACAATATGGCCGGTCAGCAACAACAAGTGACTAGAATGCTGCTTGTGGCGCTCATATGCTGCGTTGGCCTTGCCACAGCAAAGCACTTGGGTGCCACCGATGGCGACATTGTGGCTGCCAGCGACAACGACAACGACATCATTCACCACCATCACCAACACCATCAGCAGCAGCAGCAACATCATCAGCATCAACACAGTGCCGCAACGCACCATCGTCGACGCCTGCAACGCGACTCTCGCGCCAAGGATACGGCGCATCAACAGCAGCAGCAGCAGTGTGAGGCAGTCAAGGGTTACTTCGAATCGATCGACATCAGGTCGAGTGGAGTTTACAATGAAAAAGGTAGGTGCAACCTGACAATCACAGCGGCAGCAGCGGCAAGGGCAACTCAGTCACCCGTGAGAGACGCACACTATTTCAATCTTGCAACAAAGCTGATAGACAACTAAAGAAGCTGCAAATACACTTTCAACATCTAGGTACAAGGATGAAGCTAAGACTCCGATAGAAATCTATAATAAAAGTAGTTGCAAGCATATTACAAATGGAAATAATCCACAGAAGAATCACAAATAAAAATAGTAGTAAAGACAACTGGAAATCTTCTAATAGTTACAACTTACTTTAAACAGTTTATCATTTGATTCAAAAATAAATAACATGAATAGCACATAACTAATATGTGCTTGAATAAATATTAGTCAGGGAAAACATGAAAATTCTATTAAATAAATAAAAATGAGTTAAGCAGACAAGCTCATAGAATATTCTTAAATAAATATGTAAAATTAATTATACATTTAAAGCCATGGTATATTTTGATATAAATAATAACTGTGTAGGAAATATGACTGATTTATTCAAACGAAAAACTTGTGTTAAATGTTAACAATTGCAACTTCCTGTGGCTATCGCTGCACCCGTTCAGTTGCAACAATTGCGGTCCGTTAGCTAATGTGCTCGCAATTGTAAATGTCATTAGAATCGGCAGCTTAAGTTGAGTAAATCACTTGCAGTCAAAGTTGAGCGCATAGCTTCGACTTAATGCTTTGGCCTGCTTTTGTCTATTACTTGCACTTGGTTCGCACTTGCAACAGAAGCTATATGCAAATTCATTGAGCTGCCTTCGACTCACCACTCGAGGGGGCAGCGCTTTGCTGTCTGTCACTCGAGCTGGCGGCAGCGACTGAGCGTCGCGGCGTTCATTCGTGTCGCGGCCCGGGGGCAAGTGCCGCGTCCGCAATTAGAAGCGTATTGAGCAATGTTCAATGTGCCTCATAAAGTTGCCCAGGCCTGGAAGCTTTTCCCAAGAGCAGCCCACACTGCAGGTTCATTATATTTGCTATCTAAATCTGTATCTGCTTGTGTATGAGTTTGTCTATCTATGTGTGTGTGTGTGTGTGTGTGTGTGTGTGTGTGTGTGTGTGTGTGTGGTTGTATACAAAATCTTGATGTCGGCATCGTCATTTGTTATTCTGATTTCGGGCATATCAAGTGGCACGCATCTAACTGTGTGAAGGCTATGGGCAAGAAAATCATACATATGAATTGTATATTTGTATATTTACATCCATGAGATACTCGAAATCGCTTGGCATATTTCTTGTTTATGCATATTTCACACATGAGCGCAGCTCGCACGGCGTTAAGCCAAATCAAAAGATAACATATCGAATGCGAAACAACAAAAAATCCAAACGTACACAGGCATAATGTTTCCACATATATCTTTAGCTGTAGCTGTTTGCTGTTTGCTGTTGCTGTAGCTGTATTTATATCTTTGGCAGTATCTGTTTCTGCGTATGTCTCAAGAATGTGAGCCACAAATAACCAACTCACGCAGCGCGACGCGTAATTGAGTGAAAAATAATTATTATTGATTAACCGACCTTGACTTGGTATTTACACGTTTACGCACAATTACAAGGCAGCAGCCAAAGCAGAAGCAGCGCGAAGCAGCAATCTCATAGATGCTCAGATACTTAGATACCTGTATGCGTGTGCACTCATTGGTGTGTGCGCGCGTGTGTGTGTGTGTGTATGGCATGATGTTGCAGTTCTGCGCTGTGTTACCTGCCTGCTGAGCAGTTTTTCTCACACGCAGGTAGTTAACCAATAAACACCAGTACAAAAGTATCTGTATGCTACATGCTACATACAGACGCCCGCATCGTGGCAGCAAGAGCAACAGCAACAGCAGCATCATGTGTCGACTGACTTTTCCAAAAGATTTATCCACATGAGCGCTCGCTCAATGGAGCTGACTTCACATACTTTGACTTTGTTAGTTGTTATTAGCGTTTGGCTTTTCTCGAATCTTAATTTGAGTCTAGTGTTTGCTAGCTTATGTATCTCGAAAAGTACCTGTTTGTCTGTGTAGCTGTATCTGCATCTGTATCTGTATCTGTATCTGTGCCAAATCGAAGTAGCGCCTCTAGCACGAGTATCTATGTATCTCGATTCCTGTGGTCGTTGCTCTTAATGGCTCGCTTAAGTGTATATATGTGTCGAACTTCATTTCGGGCTCTGGCCTATCGTCTAAGTATTTACTGTATTCAGTGTTTACATAGTTCAACTTCTGGTACGCGTTTGCTTGCGTTTTATTTATGCCCCGCCGTCTGGTTGCCTCAAACTGTAACCGTTTGTGTGTGTTACTTTTACGTTTATGTGCTGTTTGTGATGCTAATCTGGATGTCTGTGTCATGCATACGATAAATGTGCTCAGGTATTTATGAGACACACACACACACACACACACACATGCACACACAATATGTACACACTGTGCATGTATCTCGTTGTAGATCTATGTATCTCGTTTTCTATTTGGTATGTAAACCTGGCTACGCACTTGGGCGCAACACATAAAATTCAATTTCATTTTAATTGCGCGCACTATCCGACTGCTAATTGAGCTGTAGCTACAGAATAAACACCAAGCTACACTGGATAAACCGAAAAATACAAAAATAACAAATTACAAAAGTAAATATGCTGGAAATAACGTAAGCTTTTTGGCCCTCTCGTAAACACGGCCCATTAACATTAACACGTTACATACTTGCAATGAGCTCATAACAATGCTCCAAAGCAAACAGGAAGTCATATCTTATCATATCTGTATCTGTATCTGTATCTTGTAACGCGACGAGTATGTTACTAAATATTTAAGCAACTCGCAAGCAGTAGAAATTAGAGCAAACTATGAGATACTTGTTCGACGCCTTTCTGTGTGTCTTGTCTTCTAGATAATGGAAGTGTGCAAATAAAAGTCAAAACGTGAGGCAACTTTCTACCAGCTTATTAAGCTTCAGGATGTTTGTTTGCAGCGCACGAGATAAACCAAAATAAGCCACATTAAATAACAACACCAGATAGAAAATGGTAGAGGAACCCAACTAATCTAAACTCGAACTGAGCAAGATGCTTAGCAAAGTTTCTCGAACAGATTTTAGTTCAAGTTTCTTGATTTAAGCAACTGAGTCGAATCGATTTTACTATTCAGTTAATGCCTTTTATATTATGTATGCTTATTTTTATAGTTTTCGCGTTTATTTTGGATATCCGGCTATTTTTCATGCTTGTCGTATTAATTTATTTATATTCTGTTCGCTGTACTTTTTATGGTAATTACTTGCCAAATTTCGCAGTGAATTTGGCCAAATGGCAAAGTGCTTAATTCTAATTAAGACTGAGCTGCAGCATTAATCTTAAAAACAACTTCATCAAAATTATATGCAGACCTATCCAAATAAAAAATAAATAAATAATTAGAAAAACAAACATATTTTCCACAACATTTTATGTATGTGTGTCTTGAGCAGATCATTAAAGTCGGACAACGCGAAATTAAAATTTTAAGCATGCCAAAAAATATAAAATAACTAGATGTCTATATAAATATACTATATATGTAAATGTATCTGTCGCTTCTTTAAATGGCTCAATGATGCAACAGCTTGTTTATATTTGTGGCTTTTGTCTTTGGTATTTATTACTTGGCAATGGAATGTCTTTAAAATAATAAAAACTTTAATGATTTCTGGTGCAAAATTGATTGCTAAATGCGCTTTAGTTTGCTCTTTGTCAAAACCAACTTGAACTTCATCAATTTCATTTGAGCTTAATTGCTCTGTTTCTATTTCGAATACTGACTTATCAATTAAGAGCAAAGTCAAACGTTTTTTTAATTGATTGATTTCAGATGGAAAGTAATTACAAGTGCATTTGGGGAGTTTAACAGTCGAATGCTCAATGGATTCAAACTTCTCAACTACTTTTACTCAAGTTCTTGCCAGTTCTAGACGTAAATTACAAATAGTTAAACTTCAAAGAAACAAGCGATGAATATTGAATATACTCTAGAGAGATAATTTGATTGATTATGTTGTGGGGTTCTTTTAGTTATGTCAGACTCCAAAAGTTTGTGTCTCTCACGATTAGTTCGGATAGTTGATTTGCGGCCCATTTGCCCCATTCACTAATTTATTTTGTTGAATTTTATTTTATTTTTTGTTTTTTTTTTTTTATTTTACTATGTATGTATGTAGATGCGTTAATTAGTTTCAATTAAAATTAACGACGCCTGTGCCTTCGTCCATCGATTTCACACGCACTTAAAAAGTGCTCAGACAGAATCAGACTGCTAAAAAACAACAGCAATAACAGCAACAACAAGCAGAGAACCCAAACGAGGAAATCTTAACTTTGTATATACGCCATGGGCTGCCACTTTTTTTTGTTAATGTTTGCTTTAATTTTGTGTCTGTTCTTTTTATTTTACACTTTTGACCTCAATACGAAGGCAGTTCGAGTTGGAAGCGAGTTGGGTTCTGCTTAGTTTCGAGGCGAATCAGTGATGATGTCATTGATTGCGATTGGCGATTGCCAACTTGCGATTGTAGATTGCTTTATTTGCCACATAAACTAAGCGTAAGCTATTTAAATTCATTCAATTTTCTGCACGCATCCAACAGAAATTAAATTAACAACTGGAGTGAGTGTCTACGAACCCGTTCATTCATTCATTCATTAAGGCATTTAATTCAACCAGCAGATATTCAACGAGTTCCAAGAAGTACACAACTGTCATTGTTTTGAATGTTCACTGGCTACAACATGTTTTGCTTCTGTTTAAAAATATTTTATAATTTCATTCATGACATTAGTCTCGCGCACGGGGTTAAGTTCAGGTCTGAACCTGTTTTGGACTTAAAGGTTATCTACACATTTTCATTATAAGCATGAAAACTTGGGGCAATTAAAATCTACAAGCGTGTCCAAAGGAAGTTGTCAACTTGTGCTTGTCGTTGCTTCCGCCTCGTAATGGCTTCGAATTGAACAAATCGCAGATAGCTAAAGATAAGCGCTGCATTGATAAGAAGAGATACATAAAGAGTATATACATATATATAGATATATAAATAGTATATATTTATGACTTTGCTGAGGGTACTTATACGTTTTAAATATTTAATAGTTGTCGTATTTGTAGATGCTCGAACAGGCAACAGGGAGCAGCGAACGTATAACACATTGAACGTGTGAATTGTGCAAGCCAACAGCAGCACCAGTCCCAGACAGGTAGTAGATACATTTGTATCTCACGCTTGTACCTGTCAGTTATTCTCTGTTTATGTGTGTGTGTGTGTGTATCTTGTAGCTATTTTTAAACATTTTACAAGTGAATTTATCAAACAAACAAATGCGAGAACTTGCAGACAGCGATTGAGTTGCATTTGCTCAGTGTGTTTGTGTGCGGGTATCTTAAGCCTCTCAGTCAGACTCAGAGTCAGAGTTCTGACTTTGGAGTTCTGAGTTGCTGTGTTGTTGTGTTGTTGTGTGTGTGTGATACAATTTTCCACTCATTTTGACCGATTCGCTTTGCTCAATGTCTCTGGGCCACTCTTATGCTTATGCTTATGTAATGCCACTCCTCTACGCCTCTTATAACAATGATGCAGCAGCAACAGTCACCGCCAAGTTTTGTCGACTTACTCAGTTCCAGTCTGAGTTCCCTCGTATGTTACCTTCTGGACTGGCTGACTGGCTGACTGACTGGCTCGTTGGCTCATTGTTTGCTCGATGCCTTTTGTGCCGCGTAATCGTCGTTTTCCAATGAACTCAGGTATGAGAGGGCATGAGATACAAGCGTCACCGGATTCTTTCATTCTTTCTTCGGTTTGAGTTTGGGTTTGTTGTTGTATTTTTTTTGATTCATGGATGCCATGAAAAATATTTGTGTTCATGGAAAAAAAGAAGAAAAGGTTAATGCCTAGTGAAGTGTGCACAGCATCGAAATCACAATCCCAAAAAACAATATCAAAATAGTGCCGGCACATCACTACATCGTTTTCTTTCATAGTTGGCACTTCCGCTCCAAGTTGTCGTTAGTTACGGCCACTGAAGATTACACAACGCATTATTATCATTATTTGTGTGCGGTGCTCACTTCTCATTTCTACCTATCGATTCGACTTTGAATTCGAATTCAAATCAGTTTCCATTATGCTCTGTGTATTCTTTTTAACTTCTTTTCATTCGAGGGTATTCAAGTGTTTAACAATCTTCCACTTGCTATCAGCGATAGACTCGCTTATATTTATCTAATTACTTTTCTGCACGATGTACGTTCTTCTTTTAAGTGGCTGGCGTATTTGTTTCCACCATTTACAAGTTACGTCCCCATTTGTGTTATCAGGCAAAGAGGTGTTTTTCTGCTGTACTCACAGATTGTACAATGCGCTCGCCGCATAAATCAATTATTTGCACCTAGTGCTCATAAATCAACTTCTGATGAGCAACAAAAAGGCAAACATTGAAGTGGTCAGCGCACAATGGATGGAGCATGGAGAGAATGAAAAGGCAAAAGGCGAGCAAATTGTGTATTGCTTTATAAATGGCATGAAAAGCCAGGGCTAATATGGCGTTGGCGGCGTCTTGTTACCACACAGCACGACAAACAATAAAAAAAAACAACAACACTAACAATAACAAATATTTGAATGATTTATTTTTTGAGCACATACCAATAACAACAACAATAGAAACAACAAGAATATGAACTCAAGCTGATTTAAATTTTTACGCTCGCAAGTCTGCGTGTGTTGTTTGACTGTCTGGCTTAATTCCATAGCATCCACCTCCTATTTAGCCCAAAATACCACGCCCCACCTCAATATCCGTTAACTCCACCCCTAGGGACCACATTCGAGACTTTTCAACCACATATATGTCGTGTTTGTTTGGCTGATGTTGTGGTTTCTTTTTATATTGTTATTGTCGTGGTTGTTGTTGCTCTTAATGTTATTTTTGGTTTATTGACTTTGGTTTCTTTTTCGCACACTAAGCGCAAATCTAAACATCAAAATGAAGTAAGTGCAAACAACAACAATATAGAAAAAAACAGATAGGCACGCCGAAGATTACGTACCCTTGCAGATGAGTCTACACATAATTATACATGTAAAATATGAAACGTTTAATTAAACACGAGTTTCGAGCCAGCATCGGGTTTTCAACTTTAAATATAATATTCATGTAGAGGTCAAACCATATAATAAAAGTAAACAGATGAACACATTTCACGACCATATTAAAATACCCTTAGCAAAGGGTATAACAAGAACTGTTAAAAATACTTATGTGCGAAATGAAAGATATACAATCATTTTTTCTTGGGAATTCAAAACAAGAAATATTGAAGAGGATTGTGTAAATAGAAGCTATGCATGTGTTTTTTTAAGTGTGATAATTTATATTTTCATACGAACTTTTTTGTATATTTCATTCAAAGCTTTATTTAAAATAGGAATCGTACATATCTACACATTTCTCCCCCATTCTGCGTACATTGAATTATTCATAATTTTCATGCCTGTTTTCTTTTGAAATGCAACCACTAATTTCTATCTATTCGCTCTATCGTTGCAGGTGCGTAGTTTGTGTACCAGTTCAAATCGGTTTTCGTACTCCTTATCGGCATATACTATATATACACATACTTGTTTGTTGCTACGAATAATTATCTATGCCAACCGACTATCGGGGCTACTCACTGGTGAGTTGACGCCCAGCTAGACAGCTTGGCGTTTCGCAGCTGGAATTATAATATCGCATTATATAATGTGTAAATAATGTCAGCACATTCTGCTTGTCTATGGCTATGTGTGCGTGTGTGTATGTGTGTGCATGTGTGTGTGTGGGAGCGACCTTTCCAAAAGCCCATCAATCATTTAACAACAATTGCGAAGCGCTCAACGCCAACACCGACTAAAACAAAAATAAAACATAAAACCAACCCCACGCAAAAATACTCAAAGAGCAAAAACAAAACATGCAAAGGCGCGGGAGAGTTAGATATATATATATATTACCAAATATGAATATAAATGCGTGTAAAAAGCATAAGTAAAAACTTACTGTTTGCAGCAGTATAACGAATATTGAATACCCTCTAACAAAAGCTGAAGCAGCAAATACTCGTTGTACAGGCCATTTTTAAGAGCTAGACTCTCCTGTAAATAGAGTTAAGATTTGAGATAGCAAAGTGTGCAGATACGATATTCCTGACAGCAGCAAAATACCCTGTAAAAGGGTATAACAAGCAAGCACTCGGGCACTTAATTTGTGACCTGCACCCAAACACAGAACGGGGCCAACGCAAAACAGTAGGAACATTTTAATATTATTGTCAAAGAGGTTGGGGGCGTGGCACATTCTCAAGTTTGTGTGACTGTGTGTGTGTGACTGTGTGTGTGTGCGTGTGCGTATGTGTTTGTCTGTGTGGATGGAACTCGACTCCGACAGCCATTCACTTTTCATTATTAATATTTTGTATGCTTAAATTATGCTAATCCGTTGAAATATGATTATGCCAAATGACAACAGCTTGAAAAATGAAAACTTTACCGCGCACGGGGGCTGTTTTAACCGTGGGCGGTTGGGGTGTGGCGTGTACGTTTGCAGGTGCGCCCCGGTAGCTCTGCATAATTTGATTAGCTTTCGCAGCTAATTTCGTTCGCGACTCTCGTACTATAATTAAATACCCAAAAATATTTTGCTCCATATTAAACCATTTCGCAACAGTGTTGGCAACTTTTTCAATTAAAGCACAAGGGCAAAATAAATACGCGACCTTCAAAGCGAACAGCTTTTTGCAAATGGCAAATGGCAAATGGAATTGCAGTCAGAAAAGTAATTTAATTAGCTAACTCTTAACCCAAAAACGAATCACAGTTGAACCAGCAGCAGCAGCAGTGGTAGAGGAAACGCAATCCCCACAATAATTTCACTTAAATGAAAATAATTTCCGCGACAGCCCGAAAGGGTTCGCCTGGTAACGCCATTCCACCTGGATGCCTCTACTAATACTACTACTACCTCCACTTCCCCCGCTGCCAATCCTTTTTGCGTCGCGTGTTTGCATTTGTAAAAGTTTTTGGGGCGGTGCCAGTCGCCAAAGTTTTGAGGCGCCAACATAGACGAAACTAGCCATGAAAAAATAATGGTTGGACACTGCAAAATGCAGAAGACGACACCAGACTACAAGCTATGCAAATTGTCGGGATGTTGGATGGTCTGGATGCCGTGCAGTCGGGCCTTGACCAAGTGTTGGCTTCCAACATTTTGTGGCAATGACAAAATGAATTTTGTACACAGCAATGAAAATCAACCCGATATTATTAATATTTAGCAGTGGAATTGAGTAAGATACTGAACTGACTTAGAATGATAGCCGCATAAATTTGAAGAAAGTTATTTGGGGAAATCCTGCATAATAATTATAGTTAGCAAATTAGTAAAATATTTAAAATAGTAAGCAGGCTCATTTACTTTAAACTCATGTCAACATAACTTTTTTTTATATTTATATTGTCTTTGAATTCAAAATTCCATTGAATATGTTTCGCAAAATCTTCGTTGGCTCCTTGAGCAACCAGCAGTCTTTAGTCCGGAGCAGACTCCGCACACCCTTCCGTGACTGCCTAGCTAGGAATAATTTTGCACCCTTGGACAGTCGAAGATGGGTAACGGCGATGGCACGTGAAGATCGCGATGATCCTTGTTCGCATCGTCACACTCGCAGACGTGCACCGGATGATAAACAAATACAGGCAAGTCGACAGCCTTGTAATGTTCGTCTATGTCGTCGTGGAAAGCCGGAGTCGGAGGGGAATGGTTTGTTTCAAGGAAGGCAGTTGCTTGAACCGTCGCCTCATCGAAAAATGAGCTCATTAGCGAATGTAGACCCAGAAAAGGAAAGCGAGGAGCCTCTCGGAGTTGCCGCTAATCCACCAGGTCCACCAAAAGGGAGCAAACAACTTCAAATTAGTGATGGAAGTTCCTCTAAAAGTGGTGGTGGTGGTGCCTCTAAGAGTGGAGGCATTACGTCCACGACAAAGGCACGGGTCATAACATTGATGCCAGGTGATGGCATTGGGCCAGAGATCTCGCTGGCTGTGCTTGACGTGCTAAAGGCAGTGGGGGCACCACTGATATTTGAGCCAGTGGATGTGACACCGGTGACGGACAGCACGGGCAAGGTATCCGTTCCACAAGCAGTGATTGACAGCATGACACGCACCAAGCTGGGTCTCAAGGGTCCGCTGACGACGCCAGTTGGCAAAGGCTTCCGTTCGCTGAATCTCCTTCTGCGTGTGCTCTTCAACCTGTATGCGAATGTGCGACCTTGTCGCTCTTTGGATGGCGTTGAGACGATCTATGGCAAGGTGGACATTATAACCATACGCGAGAACACCGAGGGGGAATACTCTGGCATCGAGCATCAGTTGGCCAATGGAGTTGTGCAGAGCATCAAACTGATCACACGACAAGCCTCGTTGCGAGTCGCCGAATACTGTTTCAAGTATGCCTTGGCCATGAAACGCAAAAGGATTACGGCCGTCCACAAACGTTCGAGCATGCGGATGTCGGATGGATTGTTCATCAACTGTGTGCGTGAGGTATATGAGAAGTACAAGGATAAGCTAGAGAAGAATGGCATCGTTTACGAGGAGCAGACCATTGGCAAGGTCTGTCTCAAGATTGTGGCCAATCCCCTGAGATATGATGTGCTCGTAATGCCCAATCTGTATGGCGATATCCTGTCGGATACGTGTGCGGGTCTCATTGGCGGACTGGGTCTGACGCCATCTGGCAACGTTGGCATCAATGGCGCCATTTTTGAGGCCGTCCACGGCACAGCGCCAACCATCGCTGGCCAGGACTTGGCCAATCCGACGGCACTGCTACTCTCCGCAGCCATGATGCTGCGCTACATCGATATGGGCAGCTATGCTGATAAGATTGAGCGTGCCGTCACCGTAACCATTAGGGACGACAATGTGCGCACCATGGATCTGGGTGGCAAGGCCAAGTGCTCCGAATTTACCAAGGCACTCATTAAAAATCTCAATTGATGTCCTCGGCTATAGTTAATGTTCTGACAGAGATAGGATCTTTGAGTACGTCATATATGTATTAAATAATTAGTTGGAAACAAATAAGTAAAAGTCTACATAAGAATGTATTTAGCTACAATTTGAATTATGCTTCCATATATAAATATATATATTAATTAATAAGAATTGAGCCACCTGGTCACACTTTGAACTGCAACTAGTAAATTAAATAAGCAGGCAAAGCAAACGCACTCAATACTAATCAACAAGAGGAACAACATCAGAGAAAAACGACCGACAAATAAGAGTCAAAGCGACGACAGGAGCTACAGGGAGAGCGGGGGTGCCACTAATCCAGACCCAGTAAGAAGGCCAGCCAGCCAGTCTAACCAGTGCCAAAGTCAAAGTCAGCATCAGAGTTGTTGTTTGGAGTTGCAGTCAAAGTTAGGAGTCAGAGTCAGAGTCAGTCAGTCTCTTGCGGGCCCGAAAGCGAGAGCCAAATGCAAGTCATCAACTGCACTGGGTTTGCCCTAACCAGCTAACTCGGAGCACCTTCTACCCCTCCCCTGCGCCTCTTGCCCCTTACCAATGTTGTTGCAAGGGCCGGCTTACGTTGCATTTTTACATGCATGCCACTTGAAACTCGCTGCTCTGCGGAGCTGCGTTTAAAAGCACCGACCGAAAACTCTAAACAAACCAAACTACTAGCCAAAGAGCACGAGGGTAGGTGAGGGCGGGGCAGGGGGCAAAGGGGGGCTCCTTGTGAGCTGGGTGCAACGCAGCGAAGCGTGTAGCAGGAAGAAAAATGCCAGAGCTAAACCAAAAGAGCCATATAAAAATTTAACAAAAAAAAGTGAGAGAGAAAAAATTAAATTTTGTGTGTGTGCGAGGCGAGTGTTGTATTGTGTTTGTGAGAGAGACAGAGAGAGAGAGAGAGAGAGAGGGAGAGAGTCAGTATGATTGTTTGTATGCATTTCAAAGAATTTTTATAAACAACATGTAGAAGAAGCAGCAGCAACAGCAGTGAGAATGGGCACCGGAGAGCAGCAAAAGATAAACTTCGTTTTGTGTATATGAAACAAAAGTCAAGAATTTTTTTTCGTATTTTTTTTATATGTTTTGTGTGAGTGTTTTTTTTTTTTTTTTTGGAGTCGTTGTTGTAACCGGTTTTTAGTTTCGTTGCAGCCGCAGCGTTAAGAAGCAACCTCCTCGATTCTAACAGCTTCCATGTTATAGCTGACACCAGCAGTGTCTGGCGAGGGGGCAGTGGGTAGTGAGCCAAGTGGTTGGGGAAGCGGCAAGAATATGTGGAACAGCCTAGTTGTCGCTGCAGCATTCATTCATAAACATACAAATGAACAGATGGATGGATGGATGTTTACAGTTCGCAGGAACTTGAGCAGTAAGTGCAACTGAAAATTGCATAGCTGCTTAGGAGAATCCACTCCTCAAAGTGGAACGAAATGAGACTCATTTGAATTGGCTAACACGCAAAGTGCCAGTATAGCAGATAATGCATGAACATGTTCATGTCATTCCAGAGAATCTGTTACGTGCTACGTGCCACGGGTTGGGGCAACTGTGAGAATAGACAAAAGGCGGCGCCATAATTATCATGCCGTGCCACAAGTCGTAGTCGCAATCGCTAGAGCTGCTCATTAGAATGCTAATTTGTAAATGCAATTCGATAGATGTGGATGATGGCGTGCAGCGAGCCCAAAGCTGTGAACATTTGTGCCTCGTTTAATTGTTTCAAACGAATTTTTTATGCTTCCATGGAAATTGTGGAAAAACCAACACGCATTTTGTATATACTCAGAATTAATCGATGAACGCATTAACATTGTGATTTTTTTTTATTCTTCAATTCCGCTAATCTAAAATAAAAAAGATTTCAACATCGACAGGTTCAGAAGGTCAGCTATAAATAGTAATTATTTTTAATGTATGTATGTATTTGGTTTGTTAATTTTACTCTGTTTCGACTAAAATTAAATCCACGCGGATTCGGTTCTCTGCATTGTTAATGCTATTAATTAAAGCTTCGAGCTACAATGATTACTTGGCCTTAGCTCTGTTCTTGACTGAAAATTAAATAGTTGGTTACTCTAGTTCTTCTTTTTCTTTTTTGCTTTTTTATTCTTCTTCATCATCTTGACTTCCTTGTGCAAAACTATTTGTATTTACTGAGCACTATATATTTCCCTTGCTCTTTTCACTCGCTATTTCACAAGTGCTTGACAGCGCTTTTAAATCGCTTTTAACTGATTTTCCGGCTTAAACTCGTACACAAATTTGGGCCACTTCCGCCCCCGTCGTTTGCTGGTGGGTCGAATCCTGTCGTCCAACCGCCCCTCGTTGCTGTTTCGCTCCTGCTCTGCTTGACAAGGGTTGCAACACTTCCACAAAAGATTTACGACCGCCGTCAATAGTGCTTTGCATGACATGCCCCAAGCCCCCACCCCCACCACATCATCATGGACACTACACACACAGAAAGCCCAATTGAACTCGTGCTCGAATACAAAAATACAAAAGAAAATAAAAAAAAAACAACAACAAAAAAAATAGCGACAAGCAAAAAGCATTTTCGAATTTAAATCTATTTGTCACTTGCTAAACTTGTGCTACCTTTTGCTACCTTTCCAACTTTTGTCACAATGCAACAAAAACTGTCGTTGGGGCACGCATAAAGTTCGCCTTAAGCGAACCGGTTCCACAAACGACCGGAACATACAGATTTCTATGCCTAAAAAAAAACAGAGAGCCAGCAACAAACAACAAAAAACTTTTGCCAAGTGACAGTTACAAATTTGCTGAAATAAAATGGAAGAGCAACAAAAAAAAAATATTAAAAAAAAAACAAAAGAAAATTCAAATGAGTTGGGGGTGGACTGAGGCTGGTCCGAGTGCTGAGTGCCACTCTGTGCGTCCACAGCAGCAGCTACTTATTAGGCCAGTCCAGGATCCGCTAACGCTTTAAGGCTCTAACAACAAGCACACAATGTGGATTTCGAGTCGCAGTCGTAATACAGTTTGCCCGACCTGAATCGCAATCGTCATAATGGTAACCATCAGGAGCTCAACACTCTCCAACACAAAATCATTTGCATTTATTTATTTTTGTGTGTGTTTCTCTTTGCTCTTCCTTGTTGGCAATTGTTATTGTCGCACCGCCAGCAGAAGATTGAGGACTTTAGTTTACTACTTACTTCGACTGCCTTTGCCGTTGTCTTGGCTGCGACATTTCTTTGGTCTTACGATAAAAAATACACCCATTTATTGTTTAATGCTTAATAAATAAAGCAATTTTTATTTATTTGTAGCATTTTGTTTCTTCTCCGTTTGTTCTTTGGTATTGGCTCATTTTTTGTGTGTTTGTTTTTTTGTTTTTTATTGATTTTTTATGATTGCCGCTTGTTTCTGGTTGTGATGTTGTTGTTGTTGTTATTGCTGGCCTAAGTAAAATGCCATCAATTGTTTATTGTTTTGATAATGCGTTTTGTTATAGCATTTTATTGTTTGTACTTATGCTCTTATGCTCTGGCTTTGTTTGCCTAATTTTGCGCTTTGTTGTATTCTCATATTTACATCGAAATAAATGCCCTTTAATTATTATGCTTGGCAACGCAGCGTCTGCGTAATATTGACCTTATGATTTAGATTTGATTAATTGCAATATTTAAAGAATGCAGAGCTTCAATTGGCAGTGAATTATCAATCGAAAATTTGTAAAGTGCCCAAAAAGAGAAAAAGAGGCAAACCATCAATTAATAAAATATAATTGACAAAGTGCTTGGGCCTGAGTGGTCGAAAAACCAGCAAACGAACTGACTGCCACTGCTAATTGAAAGCACGTATACACACACTTACGCAAATGCACACACAATGTTGCACATACATGTATGTGTACTCATCTGCTGCTTTTCTGCACGTGGACTCCACTGTATTCAATTAACGCCGGAAATGCGGCACAAGTGAAAAGGAAAGAGTTGCTACTGATAAGGATATGGCTGGTTGAATGCTACTCGAGCCCGGGATGTGGATATGCATGTGGATGTGAGTGTGGAAGGCGTACAGCAGAGTATAAATGTCATAAAATGCACACAGAGAGTAATGAATGTTAAGCAAGTCGTGTTGCTTTAATTAATGCAATTAAACGGCATGCGAGAAGATAATTGAAATCGCCCATAAAAATAATGCGACACATGTGCAAAGGCAGTCGGCGTCTTTGCACCACACACACACCCGATCGCTGTGGGTGCAATGCCACGCTTTGTGTTCTATAAGGTATCGAATTAATTAGGTTGACTATTTATGTGTTTTCTTATATCATATATCTATAGATAATCCTTTGTGCCAGCGAGAACTAAGTATATATTAGAAATTAAGTCAATATGAGAAATGTTTACATTTAATATTGAATTTATTTGTGTACTTTGGCTTGTGGACTTGACTTGATGTATGATTTCAATATTGAATTTCTACCCTATTAAATCATGCGTGAAATGGGCTTAAAATATTTCGCAATTGCCCAAGCCTTAAAATACCTAGTTAGTTTAAATAAAGTTGTAAATGCTGAGAGAGTCAAAGCACTTGGGGTAACACGATGCCACAACAGCAATTTGTGGCAAGTTGTAAGCCAATTTCAAGTACATATCTAAGTACTTTCTTGGGCAGCTATCCGCTTTCTTGCTGTGGCTGTTGTTGTTTTTGATTTTGTTGTGGGTGTGTCCCAGACACTAATTGCAGCTTGTTACCTGGCCAAACGGAGCGGTCAGGCTGCAACTTCCGGTAATTAAGAGACAGCAACGACAACTCGACAACGTGACACGACACCGAACTGCTCGAGACCAATAAAAAGAACAAGAACAAGACCCAGACCCAAACCAAGACCACGACCAAGAACATTCTCAAAGTCGAGGCCAGGGCGAAGTCACAAAGTAAAAGTCGACATAAATGCAGCAGAAACTTGTTGATTTAGTGTCTCCTTGTTGAGGGGTTGTACTTGCTTGACTGCCGCAGTCATATATCAGTCAGAAATACCACCTTGGGTTTTTTCAATTAAATCTTGTAAATATAAAATAAGCCAAAAGTTATGCAAACACAAGCGAAATTTACTAAAATATACAAAAATGGAAACGCTGCTCGACAAATTCATAAACAGCATACAATTTCAATGAGTT